CATTCCCTTGCTGCAGACTCCCTGAAAAGCAGGCCACCCCAGCACCTCCCTTGCCCGGTTGGACCAGCTCTGCCACACTCTGCGCAAGGCCTCCCCTGAGCACGAGAATGTCAGCTGCTGCCAAATCCCACGGGCCTCTCAGCCCATCTCCATCGCAGCACCATTCACTAAGGTTCCACTGTGCCTCCTCTTTTCTCCAGGTACACGACCATCCTTGTTCCCCTCATCTGGCTCCCATCACTGCCGTGAGGTCAGCTGTCACCTGTGGTTCTGAGCCCAGCCTGTACCTGTGGGACCCAGGCCCACTTCCTGATTCGCTTGTCCCCACAGCTCAAGGGCCTTGCAGCACGTGAAGCTCAAAGTGCCTAAGGCCAGCACTGATCACTGAGCTCTTGCTCTTGTCCCTTCTGATTTCCCCCCTGTGCCTGGGGGGACCACCTCTGGCCTCATGTGCTGGCCTCGGCCCAGTTCAGCTCTTGCTTGCTCACCTCCAGACCCCACATCCAGGCAGTGACGTTGAGGGAGTGGAGACTCTCTGTTATGTTCCAGATCTAAAATGTCCCCAGAAGTCTCACAAATACAGAAATGATTGGATAGTGGATGCGCTATACTCATCAGTGGTTTCATCCAAGGATGAGTTCCTGGCTGAATATGCTGTTAGGGAGGGAGGGCCTGTTTGGAGGCAGGGCACTTCGGAAATGGTCTGGAAGGGTATATTCTTGTCCTGTTTCCTGGCTGCCATGGATTGAGCAGCTCTCCTCTGCCATGCTGTTTCTGCCTTGGAGCCAGCTGACCATGGACTGAATCCTCTGAAACGCAAGCCAAAGTGAATCTGTCCTCCTGGGAGTTCCAGGCATCAGTGGCTGATAGCCTTGCTGTGATGCTCTTTCCATTCCACTGCTGTGCTGGGTCCCATCATTTCTTGGCCTCTGTTTTCCTTCCAAAGCATTACACACAGGCTGCTGCTCTACCCTCACTCTCCTGGGCCTGGCTGACCCGCTGCAAGCCTTGCCTCAGCTTGTGCCTGCCGTTCTCTTGCAAAGGTCAGAAAGATGCATTTGAATAGCAGCATGTTTTTACACATTACATGTTTTATGTGTATGTGTGTGTGAACACTGGTAGAAACACATAATCTGTACAAGCTATTATTCAATATTTTCATATCATCTGGTCCAGAAGTGGGACTTTGCAAACTGATGTAAGTCTAAAAAAAAAAATAGGGGAGGAGATGACATCTGAGAAGTTGAAGATTTTCATAAAACTTCTCTATAGCCTGTCATGGGCTGAATGTGTCTCCCTAAAATCCATACAGGGAAGCCCTGTATTTGGAAGCAGGGCCTTTGAAGAGAGGAAGTTAAATGAAGTCGGGAGGGGTTTGCCCCATCCAACAGGAACGCTGTGCCTATGAGAAGACACCAGAGTGTGCGTGTTCAGAGGTGTTGATGTGAGGACCAGCTGAGGAGAAACCACACCTGCAACTCCTTTGTTACTGTCTTCTGAGAGTGGATTTTTATCTAGGGTTTGTTAAAAAAACCCTATATCAGGGCTGGGGATTTAGCTCAGTGGTTCTGCCATCTGACTCGTCAAGTGCAAGGACCCAAGTTCGATTCCAGGTACCAAAAAAAAAAATGTTAAAAAAAAAAGCCCTACATCAGAAGAATTAAGAGATAAAAGTTCAGAAGGAAAAACAAATGACTTTATTGGAAAAAGGGAGAGAAATGAGATAGATAGCTACCTTGTCAGGTAAGGTAGGAGTCTGGAGCCAGAACCCAGGGTCTTCGTTCTTAGCCTCTTCTATTACATGGCAGGAAAGGGACTCTCCTCCCTGGGAGTTGCTGTAAGTTGATTGGCTATTTTGGGCTCTGAGACCCCTGATTTGACCATTTCCCATCCGTCTACATTTTTGGACGAGCGCTTCTGTGGTTCCTTTGTGCTGTCAGGGCCTTATCTTGTGAGATTTACAGCAGAGCCCCACATTCAAGGACAGGTTAGCAAAAAGAGATACATGTACATTTTAGTGTATTAATATGGTGAGAAAATAACAAAATACGTATGTACTTATGTGTGGATGTGTGTCTAGGTCTTAGTGTATATTTTATATACTGAGTTTTTTAAAGAATCAAGCCCCCTCCCCACTTGTTTCTTTGTGTGTTTAATTGGAGGTAGAGGGAGGAGGGAATGGAGCCAGGGCTCAGAGGAGTGAGCACTGCTTACCCGCCCTCACTTTGTTTTCTTAGCTACTCTCTCTAGCGGAGGTTTAACTCTTTATTTGCTGGAAACCTCACTGAGGCCCTTTCACTTTTCCTACCTGCCCCCAACTCTCCCTACACCTTGATCTTGGGCCTCCAGTTTCCAGACTGAGAGACCAAATGTCTGTGTTTAAGTTGCCCAGTGCATTTAAATTTTCTCATGGTAACCCTGCCTTAAACATAGCCTAAGACCGAAGGAACTGGTGTGGGCATGTGTGTGCGTGTGTGTGTGTGCGCGCGTGATGCATACTAGAAAGTACTGAGGTACACCCCCAGCCTGAACTGGCACTTGTGTGTGTGGGCGCACATGGTTACAGGGATTGAAGCCAAGACTTCACACTTACACCCCAGCCCTTTTTTATTTTTTATTCCTCGCTAAATTGCACAGACTGTGTTCAACCTTGTGCTTGGCCACCTCAGGCTCCCAGGGTGCTGGGATTACAGGCGTGTGCCACCACACCCCGCCTGAACTGGCACTTTTTCTAAGGTACCACAGTTTAAAATGTGTAAAGATATGAGGAAATCTGTAAGGGTTTCTGATATGAGGAAGAGAAAGGGATTTAGATCAAGTAGGGACAGTTGTTGGTTCTAGTCACAGACAAGGCTGAAAAGAAGAGAGGCCTTGGCCCACGGGGACCAGAGAGGTGAGAAGTTTGCGGCCCATGGATCAAGATGGCATGACCACCCTGTGCTCGAGGCACGATAGAGGACAGAGGTTTTGTAGTAGAACTGGGCTTAGGAAACACCAGGCAGATCAAAGAACAAGCTCGCTTTGCCGTGAGGATCTCTTGGTACCTTTATGAGCTCCATGAAGCTCCTGGCAGGTGAGTGAGCAAACGGCACTTCTCAGACTTATTCTATCCTGCGCTCCCTCCGTGAGGCGCAGTGCTCATGATGCTGTCTTGCATCACATTGCTGGCGCTGACGGAACACAGGGAACTTGGCTACCTTGAAGGAATTCTGCAACATGTGGCAGACAGACGGGAGCCAGGACTCAGTAATGCTTGTGCAGCTGTGCTGCCCCAGGGAGAGGCTATGCCATAATGGCTGAGAAGTGTGACCCTGCCACACTAGTATGTTAAAACCGTAGCCCACTGTGTGATGGCATTTGGAGACAGAGGCTTTGGAAGGTGATGAGGTAAAAATGGTGTTATATGATGAGCCCACCATGAGATTATTGTCTTTACAAGAAAGCCAGCTGTCACATCATATTTTTTTTTTGGTACCAGGAATCGAACTCAGGACCTTGTGCTTGCGAAGCAGGTGGCAGCACCACTGAGCTAAGTCCCCAGGCAAAAAGCCAGCTGTTGTGACATCCCTCTGGGAGGCTGAGGCAGGACGATCTCTAGTTTAAACCTAACCTGGGCAACTTAGACCCTGTCTCAAAAAAGACAAAGGCTAGGGATGTAGCTCAGTGTGAAGGCTGGTTCAATCGAACAAGAAGAAAGACATCAGTGCCCTCCCCTCCCCCATGTGCAGTCCCAGTGAGCAGGTGCCCTGGGCAAGCCTGGAAGCGGGCCTCTTCAGATAACTGCCTTGGGGCTCAGGGACATCCATTTTCCAGAGCTGTGAGAATTAAGTGCACAGTGCCCCAGTCCGTGGTGCCTTGTGGGTTTTTTGGTACGTGGGATCAAACTTGGGTCCTTGTACTTTCAAGGCTGGTGGTGGAACCACTGAGCTAAATCCCGGTCCCTGTGGTGCCTTGTTACGGCAGCCCGAGCTCAGGCAGTAGCTCTGGACCTCATCAACTGATCTTGGCTCGACCCCCAGCCTCGCCAGGCTTCAGTTCCCTCATGATCTGAATCAGGTCAGCAAGAGAGAGCCTGTCACCACTGGTGACTTTGCAGGTTTCATGCAAGAACATGTGTGGGGGCACGCAAGGGCGAGCACTCAGCACAGTGGGCCCCAATGCAGGAGCACTCTGCCCCATGTTACACACAGAAGCAGTTTACCCTAAAGTGGCTTTCCCCACTGTGTTGTGCTGTTTGTGAGACAGGATCTTGCTATGTAGTTCAGGTAGACTCATCAGGCCAACTGTTGCGATTGAGATCTTAACGACACGGCCCCCAGAGCCTCAGATGGTAAAAAGATAGGAAGGACTTGGGAAGATGACTGGATGATAGAGACGCTAGACTCACCCACTGATGAGCTCATAGCTAAATGTGCTCCTAGGGCCTGATGAAAGGTGGGTCGCTGGGAGCATGACCTGGAAGGGTGTATTCCTGTCCCCAGCTCCACCCTTCTGCTTCCTAGCTGCAATGGGTGATCAGCTTACTTCCACCATGCCATTCTACCTTGAAGGAAACCAACCATGGACTGAGCCCACTAAAACTGTGAGCCAAAATAAACCTCTCCTTTAAGTTGTAGGCATCAGGTATTTTGTTCCAGTGATGAGAAAGTGACTGATACACCAACCCAGCAAGCCCAATGAGGCCACTTTCATGATCTCAGTCATTTGCAATTTAAGATCCTCTCCTGGGGCCGAGGATTTAGCTCAGTGGTTTCGCTGCCTGGTGCACAAGCACAAGGACCTGAGTTTGATCCCCGGCACCAAAAAAAAAAAAA